GCTACAAGTACTCCAGGTCCAGAGCGTGATGGAGGGCCATGAGGTCTGAGTGGCTGGAGATCCTCCAGAAGGGCATGTTGTGCTGCAGACGGAACAAAAGCACTGATTTAAGACTGAACAAGCTTGTTCATTTATTGATGCTTTATGGAGTCAAAACATATATAAACTTTTTTCATCAATAAAATATCAGCTACTTGCTCTGACAGAACAAAATGCACTAAAATGTTTACGACCCAATCAATTTTACAAGTATTGACCAGATTTGGTGCAATAGTAGCTGAGAATAAATCCCAAAACGTCACAATTTTAACAGTTTTATTGTGCTTTGATTGTTGTTTTTTTTATATTTGTGATCTGTTTTATTGTTTTTAGTTATTTTGCTCTCTGTTAAGCACTTTGTCATGTTTATGTCTGTGAAAGGTGCTATAGAAATAAAGTTTACTTACTTACAAGTTTGCAATTAACTGTTTGTTAGCAAAATATCTCCTGAACAACTTTTGTTTAAACTTTCAGAACGACCAAAATTTAAGATGGTCTCCACAACTAATCAACATTAGCCAACACAAAAAATACTTGAAACTCAGTCAATTTTACAAAAACTGAATGAAAATTGAGTGTGGTAGTGACTGAGAGTGACTCACAGCTCACAGTCTAAGCTCTCACAGAGCTGATGAGACGTCGTAATGTGCGATCACACATAACGTTTACAAGATTTGAGCAAAAGCAGCAATAACTCTGTCTCTACTGATCACTCGATGAAGGAATGCTAGGCCTTTAATTAACACAAAGTCAATAAAAAGCGTAAAAAACAAGTAAAATGATCATTGGTGAATAGGAACAATGTGTGACTTTTGAACATAACGTACAACCACCATACCCTCCCCCACCCCCTCCCTCATCTGTGAGAATTGCATGCACACATCACTTTTACACTCATATGCATCCTTCACTTTTCTTTACTTTTACCAGCATTAAGCTTCTCTTCCACTATAATTGCAATATTCAACTTTTTCTTGTATAAAGATCTTTATTTTTGCACTACTGAGTACCCTTCAATTTCCTGTTATTTTTGTGTTGATGTCACAAATTCATCTGTATCTGTGTCCATATCATATTACACATTTATTGTCACTTTTTTGTTTACTTACAATGTTATTGGATTGTCAATTTCTGTTGATTACCTGTTTAATGCTGTAAGAGAGTAACACTATTTCAATTCTCTGTATGTTTTGCACATATGAAGCATTGACAATTAAACTACTTGAATCTTGAACATGTTTCCTGTATAAGTAACAAACAGTGAAATGATGGAAGTAGGGCATTTTAGGAATGTCAATTAATACAATTTTAGTTTACATTTTACAAATGTTTGCCCTTTTTTTAATCATATACAAGTATAACTTTACATCCAAATCCTGAGCTAATGGTCTGAGGGAAAACAAAATGATGTAAGAAAGACATTTGTATAAAAAGGAGAAATAATGGGTAAGATTAGCATTTAAAACGGTTCTAATTAGATTCTAATAAAGTCACAATTATTATTTAATAGACAAATGGCATTTTTAGCTTCCACCTGTGTAGCCATGTCAAACAGTTTTAGCTGTGTTTTGTTTTTATGAGTCCTTCCTCCTTGTAGTTTTAGGGAAGTGCAAATGAGCTTGTTGTTCCCAAGCAGAAAGCTGGAAAAGAAACCTGAGTCGCAGAGAATGAAAGGAGCTTGTCAGGTAGAGTCCTCAGCTCTTCAGTGTGTGGAGCCCATTACCACCCCCCACCCCCACCC